GTCAACAGACTGCGTGTTGGATGTGAACCATTGTATCACTTATGCAGCCTATTTGTTAATTTATTATGCGTGTGTTATAACTTATATCTCATATATTTGTCAAGCGATTCGGTAATAATGCTGCCCTGTTACTAATAATCCAAATTCCTCGCAAACAGGAAAGAAGCTGCCGGAGCCCCAATAAGCGGTGCTGGGACCACGACCGACTTGGGCAGACGTCCCAGTGTCCAAGCCATCGTCGACGCAAGTGCGCTCTTCGGAATCTGGCCTTATCGTGGATTCTACCGCCCTGGAACTTTGACTTCAGTCATCCTTGAATGCGATGTGTATCTACGAGGCAATAAAGCTACTTTTAACCTGAACTCCACAATTTCGTTTCGGGAGATTTGTGGCACGGGACCAAATGAAAAAAATAAACCTTTAGTCCCAGAAGCCTAAATCCAAGGGCGCAACGTTTAGACCCAGGGGTCCAAGTGCAAGGGCCTAACAGTTAGTCCTCGGGGTTCATTTGAACCGGTGTAGCAGTTAGTCCCAGGGGTCCAAGCGCAAGGGTCTAACAGTTCGTCTTCGAGGTTCAATTGAAACGGTGTAACAGTTGGTCCCAAAGGACCAAGTGCAAGGGCCTAACAGTTGGTCCTCGAGGTGTAACTGAAAGGGTGCAACAGTTAGTCCCAACGGTGCTAGTGCGAGGGACTAACTGACGGGGCGCAACAGTTGCTCCCGTTACAGATGCTCCCCCAGGGGACTAATGGTGGTGGCAGCGCATTTAGTCCCCCGAGGGACTAAGTCGCGCTCCCTTTTTTCTTAGAGTGCGGTAACAGTGCATGACCTAAGAAGAACGGAAGCTCTTGGAATGGGCCAGAAAATTGAACTTAAAAAGAGGAGAGGGGAGGGGGGGGGGGGAGAGACACGGACACTGGTTATACCGTTTCTAGCCTCAAGTACGGCACCACTATATAATAGAGTCTGTAGAAGTTTGTGTTCAACACTATTATGCCTGGCACTTATTGTCTCGGTTTTGATAGCAATTCGATTGATGCGAGCGTTCCGGAGCTTTCGTTTATGCCTTTTTCAATTGTGTTGAAACGATAAATAAGATAGGACTCGCGTTGTTCACGTTCTCGGTTTGACTTGAATCGTGTCTCTAAGAGCGTAACCGTTAGTTTATCGAAGGAGTGTTTTGGCAGGCACAGATGTTTTGAAAGAGGAAGATTTGGGAGAAATACTGCGTGCGCTCTATGGTTGTTAAAGCGCGATCTAAAAGCTGTTTCGGTTTGTCCTACGTATTGCATGTCGCATACGCTACACTGAAGCAGGTGAATAACGTTTGATGAATCGCACGAGAGCTGACTTCGGATCTTGATATTAAATTGCGAACCGGTGCTGCTGGTATATATCTATATATATATATATAACCTCGCATTACAAACACGCTGTTTTCCCCTAAGAATGAAGGTATCAAAAAGTGTGTGCTACGTAAAGGTGGTGATAGGCTTGAAATAAATAACTATATGCTCATGTCAATCCTTCCTGTCTTTTCTAAATCACTTGAGAATATAATACATCATAGACTCATAACACATCTTGATAAGCATTCTTTAATTTCTGATGCGTCATTCGGTTTTCGTAAACATCGATCTACCAGATTGGCTTTAATAAACCAGAAAGAACAAACTGTGAAAGCTTTTGACGAAAAAAAAATGACATTAGGCGTCTTTCTTGATTGCTCAAAAGCCTTTGATTACATCGATCATTGTAATTTACTTGCCAAATTACCATTTTTTTAATAAAGAACATAGCATTCAATCTCATAAAATTATACTTAATAAATAGAAACCAATACGTGTCTTTTCCAAATTTTTATTCTGATAATCTTGCTATCAAGTCGGGCGTTCCCCAGGGTAGCATTATAGGCACAATATTTATTATAATATACATAAACAACATTGTGCATGTGGCAAAAAACGGTGATATGAAGCTCATAATTTACGCTGACGATACAAGTACTTTTTTCTCCCATTACAATCTTTGTACTTCTATTGCCACAGTAAATGAAGTGCTAAAACGAATCGTCACCTGGACTCTAAACAACAAACCAAAATTAAACTGTAAAAAGACCAAAGCTTTTTGTTTAGACCCAAAAATAAAACAAATAAATATCTTAGCTCATCTTTCAATAAGCGATAAAGAAACTGAGTTCACAGAGTGTGTTAAAACTCTGGCTGCGTTGTTTGCTTGTGATATAAGCTGGAACGCGCACATAGAACATGTGGAAGCAAAAATATCTAAGAATATAGGCCTAATCACAAAATGTAAAAGTTTACTTCCTACTCAAATTAAATTAAATATATATAATACGTTAATTTGTTCTCACTTAAATTACTGTAACCTGATATGGTGCACGGCAACAAATAGTAATCTAAATAAGTTGCATCTATTACAAAAGAAGGCAGTGCGTACAATTTCAGGAACTCCATTTTTTTATCCCACTAAATCACTATTTAAATCCCTAAATGTAAAAACCGTCGAACAAATGTATGCTTACAAGCTTCTGTCAACGTATCACAGCGCTGTTCAGCACAGTAATGTTAATTCTATTAAACTAGCCAACCTTAAACACCGCATCATCCTACGAAACCTAAGACAAAATGAGCTCTGGATGATTTCCCCTTCGCATACAAATTACCCAAATCAGACGCTTCATTTCAAACTTTCCGCCATGTTAAATAGATTGTATAGAAAGGGTCGACATTTAGAATTCCTATCACATAGGGAATTATAAGAACTTCTTTCTGCGATTTTTGAATACTGCTGAAGTTTTTGTTATGAATAGGTAGTATTATTTTAGGTACCATTGTATCATTGCTTTAATTAGTCGTATTTTTCCCTGGCCTGTGTATTTTTTGTATATATGTTTGCATCAAATTTAGTAATGTATAAACCAGGATTTTGCATTGATTTGTACCCGTCTCTGAACACTGTGTAGTTGCAGTCCAAATTTTAGTTGTTAAGTTGTGTTTAAAACTGTCGCGAAGTGCACGGGGGCTGGGACCTTTTTCATTCTGCTCTTTAGCAGCTTTTTGCCCGAGTCCTTGTGATCATGTAAAATGTGACAACAAATAAAATTGATTTGATTGATTTGATACTATGGTGTGCTACAAGAAATACCACCGCCAGCTTATAATAATATCACAACTGTGCAGTTCATGTCATTGCTACGATTACAAAATTGCTAGAAATATTAGGAACTCATGAATTCTGTTCAGCGATGTGCGTGGCAGCTATACGATCGCATAACTTTGAACATAACTTTCTGACATGTGATATCGCAGACAACACAGTACTCAAAGGAAAGCACAACATAAAAAAGTGCTTTAATAAGATCTAAACAGTACGGTGGTTAGAGTGGTATTCACGGAGAAGGAAAACGATTGAAATATAAAGTTAAGAACTAAAGGGGCACTGGAAATTTATTCACTGTTTACATCGAGATATAAATTACATCATGTATGCAATTTTGTACCGTATGTTCACATCGCTCTCCTAATAAATGTTCTACATTGATAATATACACACTTTTTAGCATCTTATTTTCGGTAGCATTTCTGCACGCCTCTCTGCTTTTATATTTGGGAATACTGAAAAAAGAAAGATGACAACATTCGATCCGCCATATACAGAAAAAAAAACGGTTCTGTTCCTAGTAAGAATTCAAATGAGAAACAAAATCTAGCCCTTCATTCACAACAGGCTGTTTATCTAAGATAGAACGGCACCACGGCCGCGGTGACAGAGCAAAACTCTGAGGAGCTGAGCCACGTCACGCGGCCGTCGAGAAGTACAGATGTGAAGAAGGAGCGCCGGTGACGTGGCCAAATATTTATGCTTGCGAATGGATGTGCATCGCAGCCTTGGTAGTTGAACTGCTGGCTTGTTCAAGACGGCGCCCACGGGAACGCAGGCTTGAATGTTTGTTAGAGTAGTTTGGTTATACTTAGCCTAACTGTCAACATTGATTGCAGTTTTTGATCAGAAAAAATCGGGTGCACTGATTTACGTTTCGAGACTCCTTTCACGACTCTCAACAAAAAGGTCAGTTTATGTAGCAAGAGTCACGTGGTCGCTTACACTAGCCAATGGGTGTGAGGAATGAACCACGGCACTGCTGCGGCCATGACACTATTCAGGGAAGGCTATCGCACCTCTCTTCGGCGTCTTCCTTTCCCCTCTTCTTTTTCCGTCCCGTTTTATTATCTCCTTGTGCATCGTATTTTTGCGGAAATTTATTTGCACCAAATTACTGTCATAAAAATATACATACAGCAACCACTTGCTACATGACGTGTATATCCTTCCTGAACGCATCGTATTACGTTAATTGCTTTTTTTTTTTGGGGGGGGGGGGGGTGGGAGGGGGTTGGAAAATTGCCATGCATTTACCGGTGTATGGGTAAAAACAGTGGCAAGTTTCAAGTTAGTGAATAGCTTCCATTAGAAACCTAGACCTGGGACGATAAAAAGTGACCTGCTGCAGAGTTAGCAATCTAATAGGCACTGGCAATCCAAAAACCCATGGTTTGATATATCACAATATTGCTTCTTTCGTCGCGATTCGTTCCCTGACGTGTTTTGTTTTCTTTCTTTTATCTGCTAATGTTCCGATATCGTTGTCTGCGAAATATTATGAAGGTGTTCGGAACCCTCCACGCGCTGTTTATTAAGCTGTCATTGGCTGAGTCTACAGGTAGGCGACCGGAGTGCATCGAAAAAAAATTTGAGAATTTTAATTATTAGTTCATCAGTAAAAAAATAATAAATAGAGAAACGGGGAGCGTGTGATTGATGACTGCTCGATTCAATGAGCTACGATGACTCATAGCGCAATTGCATGTCGACTTTGAGCCCCGTTTTTGCGTCTCTCTTCTGCGCTTACGTCTCAATCAAGAAGCCTCCGACAGAAATGCATTACAAGTTAATACCTGAATATTAGAAGTACTTACCCAAGCTCTGGTTAGGAAAATTTAAAACGTAATCTGCTGATGAACCGAGCATGCCATGTTGCAGCAATATGGTCGTCTTGTTGGTCACAGTTCCGTCCGAACTTTCGTTCTTGCCTCTTGGAATACGTTGAATGCCAATCACGTAACCATCACTGGTGATAACCTCGTATTCTTCGACCGGGTAGCCTTTGGTGGAGATCAGCTCTGACTGGAAACGAATTTTACATCGACTCAAATTTGTGTTGGTGAAGGTATCAGAACCAGGAAAGTATAAACCAATATGCTCTTTCATGGCGAATGCCACCACGCGGTGTTCCAGCCTCTGACGTCCCAGAGAATTTCCGGTTCTTAAAAAGTATGAACAAAGCCCACACTAACACTGCTGTTTGAAATGTCTTTGAAACGCTTAACCTCCAATACTCCAGCTGAACGCCAAAAGAAAACGAAGACGTGAGAGGTATTTTAAAACTCATCGAATATTTTTGTAAACCAACTTTCCATCTCCAAGACGTTAAATGGACCAACCGGGGGCCTTCGTCAGAACTCCAACTTTGATGTACGTGTATCATTTATGCTTTCTAACACTGGTGACGTAAGCAAGCTCTGCAGGCTTGCAAAGACGGAGCAACAGAAAGCCGCTTGGAACGCAGTAGGCAGTTCATTTTTGTAAATAGCAAAAGGGTTTAGAAATCAAGTAACATTATGCGCCCAGTAACGTGTAGTTTATTATTTGTTTGTACCCCCATTTTTTATATTCTATACTTTGGCAATATACGACTAAATGAGGCAATGCACCTCATCAATTATCTGAGCCTCCACGTGTACACTTTTTATGAAAAAAACTTTAATAGCACAATGATAAAGGATTTTACGAGCGGTTTTTCTTTTTTTTTTTTTGTTGTGTGAATCGACAACAGCTGGCAGGATACAGCTCAGCACGAATTCAGCTTGAACCACCAATGCGCCCTGTTTCAACTCTGATCGCAAGACACGAGAAATAATAGGTTTTTATCCACGAAGGAATTTTTTCCTATTTTAAGGGGATTGAAAGTACGCCGTTGTTTATTATGTGAAGTTAAGGTGATTAAAGGTTAATATATTAAGTAAGCTTGCTCTCATCTTGACTTCACAGTTCACAGTTCTATATGACTGTAAATTATTTATAACCTGGCTTCATTGGCACAGTCATCACAGTATTATGCATAAAAAATACATCGCAAAGTTTCAGACTAATATATAGAAGTCGCTGAGATAAATACTTAAATACTTTCTTTTTGTCAAGCTGATGTCCGATGAACGAATGCTTAGTACTTTGACACACAAAAATATTAACGAAAGATTTTTTTATCATTTTAGTCATTCTAATTGGCGGTTTTTTTCCTTTATATCTGAGGGCCCTGTAAAATGTCAGGTGCTGTCCAGGCAGAAAGTACTGAGCTAAATGCTAAATTGAATGGTTTATATCACCATTGCGTCGTTGTCAGATATATTTTATTAAAAGTGATTGATACAATGCCATAATGAATGTTGTCAGAAGTGACTGCGCAAAATTTTATCTATAGAGAACATGTTTTTTTCTGTTTTTTTCTGTCGTTTTTTTGTAATTTTTAGACCTCCATCTTCATTGCATTGCATGTTCATACACCTACACAATTTAAATGTTAAACTAAAAATATAATATTTATAGATATTATATGATTATTAGTTTACTTGTCTGCTGCTTAGAGTGCAACAAGAACGGATTAATTTACTGAACCACATAGGTAATATAAAATAAAACAAAAACGTAATAGAATAGCGGACAAAACATCATTGAAATACAAATTATTAACAATTTTAGTAGCATTGACACAAACCGACTTGTGATTAACTGAACTTGTGATGTCATTAACTTATTAGTCCCAGGTTTATTATTATTTGGCTTAACATTTGAATATTCTCTATAGCCGTGCTGACACAGAAATGGGGTGTATCGTTCTCGCGTATTCTGTCAGTAATATACAATATTTTCGCATATAATATTTATATAATCATATCGTCCGTTTCTGTTTGAATTTTTCTTGATTATGAAAGTGTTGTTTTGATATGCTCCTAAACATGTATGCATATGTTTCCTCCATTCTGCTGAGAGATAGCTGTTGTGGTCGTGCATATAGAGCTTTTATTGTGTCCATCCTGCAGATAGCTGCCTACATAATTCAAATATACTTTAAAGTAGAAAGACGTAAATATTCAAATAAGCTGCATAAAGTACCTCTGATAACTTTGTTACTGGTGTTTTAGTGAAAATATTCTTCGGACAATTAACATTGTATTCAGAGCGTCTTTTAGACGTCGGAAAGTGCATTTGATCAACAATAAAGTATAAAAAATCACTTTTATTAGGTACCCCGGAAAAAATCGTCCGGTCTCGGTGCAGGCACACCAAACTTGCAAAAGCTAGAAGTAATTCATAAAACTTAAAACATTAAAACACAAAAATACACACACAAAGAGAACAGTGATAATACATAGTACACACATAGACCCTATTGCAAACTGAGTAGAAACATTCTCCGAACGGCACGGTATTATTAAAAATAAATATTTATTTATGACATCGTCACAGTACCATAAAGCACAGAGAGAACGCCCCCATCCAAGAGATCGCCCATCCTGTCTTTCTGAATAAACATCTGTAACACAAAAATTCGGGAACATCGCCACCCCCCCCCCCCCCCCCCCCCGAATTTCGTTGAACGTCACGCGATGTCCGACGGCAATTGCATAAACCGCGCAATTCGCTTTACCGGCACGTATGAGAAGCAAGTACAAAGCGCGTTCCCGCAAATCGAACGAATACCGCTCGATTTGCGGTATTCGTTCTCGTTAGATGCGAGTTCTCGGCAATTGCTGAGAGTCCTTCGCGCCGTGAAAGCCGAACCTGCAGCGTCTGCTACCTGCTGTATCCTTTCCATGGCATTGGAGTTCGTAGCGAATTCTCGCGTGTCTATAGCATCCTGAGAGGCGAATTTGCGGTGTCCGCCATCTGCGATATCAGTTCCCGCGTCACGTGGTTTGTAACCGGTGCCAGGATGTTTATTCAAACCTTTCAATAGAGTCGTGCTGTGGCATTCCCAAAGATAGCCCACCCCGTATTTTTACCATTTATTCCTTCATTCTGGATGGGCGTTTTTTTTTGTTTTTTTTTTTTAAATTTACGGTAGTGAAGTCATTTAAAAGTTAGTAGAAAAGGGGTTTCCCGGTAGAAAATATTAGGTTTATATCAGAATCAATCAGCATAATAAACACTCTTCATATATACCGAAGACAAATAATTTCTACAGACAACACAACTTGGAGGCTATCAGTTCGAATAATTCGTCTTGTTTAGCTTTGTGTTGACTCGAAGAAGATATAAGTTTTCTTTATCAAACTGCTGAAGGACACCAGTTAAAAATACCGAGCTTTTTTGTGTAACAGTTATAACACTGTAATTGTCTTAATATTGAGCTTGCCTGTTAGCAGTAAAAAATTACAATTTCAGCCGTAAATAAACACTCGCGACAGCATAATACGCGTTAAAATTATGACAATAATAATTTAAAAAAAAACTTACCACATTTCTTAGCGAATCCGGATCAATTGCAACATTTCCAGACAAACTGCGTCCGACCAACACAAATAAGAATGTGAGGCATACCAGTATGGCATGTGCTGGCATGATACCCCCGTGAATAGGCATCGCGATCTGCAATGTGGCAAGCATTTCACGGTTGGATAGTGTTTCAATCCTCCCCGACCAGGTACAGGTGTTCGACTCAATGTTCCGACCTGCCAGCTGGTTGGGTCTTGTAACCAAGAGAGCAAACTGCCAGAACTAGAAAATATCATAAACATCGAGAGTCACGGTACTGTGGCTCACTTCATATCCGCTCTCCCGAATATACGCGAAATGGAGTAGGGCCTCCTGCCCTACTCCATTTCTAATCTGGATCTTGGACGACACGGAAAATTTTTGTGCCCGAAAATAAACATTTGTCGTTACTAACTAAAAGTCTGTAGTCGTCTGTAAACTTCACCCGTGATGTTATTCTTTTAATTTGAAGAATTCAGAATTACAACGTGCTCCCCTACCCAAAAAAACAAAACAGTATAACTTTTCGCTAACTGGATTATGGAACAGATAATCTAACTGGATTTCTTGGTGGAAACTTGAGATCCAGTTCGGAGCCTGCAAATTATCTCCAAATGAGATTTCAGGTTTCCAGCAAGAAATCCAGTTTGAGTTTTTGTTCCCTAATGCAGTTAGTGAAAAGCTATACTGTTTTTTCGGTAGGAATTGCTTTACAAGTGCTTTATAAGTTCATCCAGTAAACATTTTATTAGAGGGAAACGCTCATCCTTAACATCCGCAGAATTACGAGATTGACTGCCGTAATGATTGACACTGAATAATGCTGCGTTCAGAATAAAAAAAAGCGTTTATTGGTTTATTAGATACTGGTTATAAAGCATGCACGCCGTGAGCGCCAGCTATGTCATTGGCTGCTCACATCGCGCGCGTGCCAGAGTGATTGGTTACGAAGTTCATGCAAATTATTACACAACTTCTGGAAACGATTTCAATTATTAAAATTTAATTGAGTTGTATGTTTTATTTCTACTTTTTTTAACGCTTGTGCCTTTTTCAAGGCAATTACTTTTCGCAAAATTCTCAAATTTGGTAGGCCGAAAGCTACGGTACTGTTTCTGGGACAAGAAGTGATTGTTTTTTATGAAAAAGATGATAAGAAAGCTTCTTTCAAAATAATATCGCCACCTTTCAGTGCTTTTTATTTAATAAAAACATAAATCAAAACCAGCCAATGACTCTGTTCCTGCGAAGCTCAAGATATGAACTCAGCCATCTTAAACAATTGTTAAAGTAGACCACATTGTTCTTGTAAAAAGGGTACATGAATGACAAAAATTTATGTTTAGAACGAAACAAAAAAAAAAAAAAAAACTTAAAGAAAATGGAGAGAGAAAAAAATCATCACAACATCCCAGGATTGTAGTCTCTTTCTTGGGCAGCGTCACTGTAGCCTTTATCTTTGTTTCTTCTGTCTTTTCTGCTCTGTTTGGCTTCATCTGTAAGCCTGTTGTCGCTTTTCCGGATCCGTTTCGAGTCTATTGATGTCAGTGCAGATACACACAGGGGACCAGGGGTGCCACTTAATTGCTTCAACACTTTGATTTGTGGCAGATCCACATCATTGTAGTAGGCGATGGTGTTATCAACAGATGTCTGAACAGTCTTGAAGCTACCAAATGTGGTTTTCGGGCATCTGGTCCAGATTATTTGGTTGAGTGCCTCGTTAGGTTCTTGTGTTCTGACATGAAGACACCACCTTGACTCCACCAGTTTACTGATGGACATTGAAGCGTGGTTATTATATAGCCTTTTATTTTGGCATTGTTTGCAGAGTTTTACGAACATTTCGATGTTCGAATTAGTTTTTGATCACCTGACGTTTAATCGTGCGATAGCCTTCATGGCAGCTATTCACGAGTGGTTCCATTGAAGCAGCAGCAACACCTCTTTCCTCAATGACATGTGCAGGATAACTCTAGTACCCCACGAAATACGATCTTTCTGTATCGAAAGTTTATCACTTCCCCCCTCGTAGAGCCGTAACTCCGCAGGCACATCTTATAAAAATCTCTGTCGCTTCCACTTTATAAATTGGGACAGGTGAGAATCTTCCATCGTCTCTGTCGCCACCGTCGCTGTGGTGACCGGTGGAAACTGGACAACTTCTCGCAGTATGGCGTGTCCGGGATTCTGTTTCTTTCCAGGTTACCGACGCTGACATTTTGCTGAGACAGTCAGCATTACAGTGGTTCAGTGTGCGCCGGTATTCCAGGACGAACGTGTAAGCCGACAACCTCAGCGTCCGTTGCATCATTCGCGATGAGAGTGTAAAATAAATTTGTTTCTGGAATTGGATGCTTCCCAGCAGAGGTTTATGATCTAATGCAATAGAAAAGAGTCTTAAATAAAGATACTGATAACATTTTTAACCCCAATCACTATAGACAAATCTTTTTGATCATTTCGAGCAAAGACTTTTTAGGGGTGTGAGAATAGTGGTTCGAATAGAATCGCATTGCATCATACATAGCCTTTACACTGCAAAGAAAAGCCAAGACGGTAGGTGTTTTCAACAGTGCAGAAGATAAAAATGATGCTGCGTCATTCAATTCGAAGCAGTATTCGCACACCCCTAGTAGTGCCCTTCAGGCATACGCGATAGACAGCTCGCGACCCTGGTTATCTCGATGTGATAACACCGGCCCTAGTCCCACTGGTCACGAATCACATCACAGCACAAGTGCAACATCCTTCTTGAAATGAGTCAGCAAATTATTTGATGCAACAATAGCTTAAGGCTATCGAACATCTTCCGATTTTCTGGAGTCCATTCCCATGCTGCCACGTTATCGAGGAACGTATGGAAAACGTCCGCCACATCCAATCATCCTTTCAAGAATCGAATATAAAAAATGACCGTTTTTTTTTAATTTGCTGCTGTTTGCATGCGCGGGAACCTGGTGCATGGCTTGTACTTTAGCTGGCCGGGGTAGATGCCGTCACTGTCCACTTAATGTTCCCAAAACTGTAAACTACCAAAGTACAACACGCAATTTGACGTGTTTGCACGCAGTCCCGCATTCCAAAACCGCGCCAGGACTTCGGCAAACAATGATTCGTGTTCTTCCGCCCTCTCGCTGCCAATCCAGATGTCATCTAGGTGGACTGCCACTTGCGACAGGCCAGCCAGCACCGTGTCCACTGTTCTCTGGAACACTCCTGGGACCATTAAAAATGCCCTAAGGCAACCGCCGAACATATTCGATCACCTTTACTGTGTTGATCGTTGTCAGCTCTGCTGCCCCATCATCAAGCACTAGCTGTTGATAGACTTGAATTAAATTCAGTTAGATGAACACTGGACAATGGTCCAGTGTTCACCAAAGCTGAGGGGCTTGGTTGACTGTAGTGTAATAATCCCTGCAGACCCCCAAAGATCCGCTAGTACCCGCTCCTCTTTCGCACCATTACTATGGGTAATGGCTCACTCTGCGTACTGTCTGGGTTCCAGGATGCCTTGGTCTCGCAACTTGTCTAGTTCGGGGCACACGTCATCCTTGATGGTAAAAAATACGCTTCAGAATTTTAGCAACTTGGCTCTACACATTCCTGCAGCTCGATGCTAATTGGTGGTATTAAAGCTCTAGAAAAGACTCCCCGAACACGTGTGGAAATCTGTCAATAACGCTCGTTTGGGCGTTGCCGATTCCGTACAGACCCACTACGTAGATTCTTTGTGCCACTAACCAATGTAGGTCAATCAGTGTGCTTCCCTTTTTCGCGACGACCCGCAATGGTAGAATTAGGGTCTTCTATTTGGCCTTGACCAGTACCATGGCCTTCCCCGACACGTTGATGTTTTCTATGGTACACATGACTAGTTTAGCATGCGGATCCTCGACGACGACTCTTTGATGCGCCTTTGATTTTTTTAACCCTTTTTCGCGAATGATAAAGTGTGTAGCACCCGAGTTCGCTTCCATTGTCACGTTTGCTCCAAGTACTTGCACCTCCATTAACAACGTTGTTGGCATTTTTTTCTTTTTTTGGCATTATGCAAGAGTTTACTATATTTATGCTCTGAGCACGCTTCAACTGTTGAAAAGTCGTCTACCTGATGGCTGGATTGTTTGCTGCCCTATGCCCTGCACATTCTTTTTGTGTGGAACCTTTCCAAGCATTCGAAGCAAATCGCGTCTCTGAACTTGCACTGCTCTGGTGTCGTGATCCCCCCGGCAGCGATGACAGCGATACGCATCCTCTGCCTTTGCTGACCGGCTTTTGTCCTCGCTGTGCATGCTGACGCGAGCAGGCATGTTGTCTCTACTTTCTTCTTCGCTCCACTTGTTACTCATGTCTTTTTGTTGTTTAACTGTTATTTTTGCCGTAACAGTCATATCATCTGAAGCCACAAAGGTCAAAACTTTTTCATCCAGTAGACGTTGCTGAAATAGCCCGTCAGCAATTCAAAAAAAAAAAAAAATCTCTCGCCCAGCATTATGCTAAGTGGAGAATGGTTTTCGAAGAAACCCGAATTTTCTGCATTATTACGAAGTTCATTAACCTAGCTGGCAGCTGTATCGCTGTCATGTAGATCCCGCTTGAAAAAGACTTACCTTGTGTACAGGTCTCATGGCCTGGGGTTGAAGCGATTCTTAACAGCGATGAGGATGGTGTGGTATTCCTCATTCTCCGGTTGAAGCGGCGTTGCGAGCGTTAGTATTTGTTAATTTGTATCTTACCTACTGCAACCAACCAATGCTGCCCTTTTGTCGACTTGGGTTATTAGTTTGTTCGCTCCACAATATAACTCGAATCGTTCAACATTTTTTTTTTTTTTTTCAAAAGAAGAACCACTGCCAAGAACAAACCCCCGAATTAGAGCACCAAGCATCTCACTCCCACGGCCGCCAGCAGTCTGCTGGTCTGTCTCCCTCCGTTGCCACGGTAATGATGAATACTAAACCAGACAGCGTGCAGAATCAAGAAGAATTTATTAGTTTAGTTGCGGCCTCTTTTATAGCATGCACGCCGTGAGCACCCGCTGCGTCATTGGTGGCTCGCATAGCGCGCGTGCCACACTGATCGCCAGGTTATCAAGAAAATATTTATTCCTGAAATAGGCCGAATCA